TTTGTTAATTGAGTTGCTTTTTAGCGTCAGAGGAAAAACTCATAATACCTATGAATTCGCTTTTTGATGCGCTCCCGGAAGCACCGAACAGTCCAGATCCACTTGATTCACCTATCGCTTCATCCATACTAAAGGGTGCTAAGGAGTACAACAAAAAAAAGTAAACTGTTTGCTTATTTGATGGAAATAATCTACTTTTGAAATGCGTTCATTCTCAGCGATCTATGGAACAAGACCGTTGCAGCGAGAGCAGATCGAGAGCAGATGCTTTTGAAGGCTACGCAAGGTTTGTTCATGTAAAAATCATCGTTTAAAGGGACCATGGATTTACTTTTAGCAGTTTTCGACGATACTGTATTAACAAAGTCCGTTCCAAGATATCCAACGGATCTCTGGGCTGGTTATGGCTTCAGCTGTTCTCTTCCTGCTGACCTATTGAAAGGGATTCTGGATTTACCTGAGGAGACCAATGTCCCCGAGGGCAGACCGATTTTGGGAAGGGATGCTAAAACGGTCAGTCACAATGAGCGACATCAAAGCAATATTTAAGAAGCATTTTAGCCTCCAAGAGGATTGTGTGCAGTTCGTGAAGAGGACGAGCTGTCTGAATTTTCTGGTTCATTTAGCAGCAACTCAATGAATTCTGCCAATCGTGCCTTTGAAAGGAAGAATCGATCTGGTAGTTTTTTATTGCGAAGTTGAAGACATTCCAAGGGAACGAAAGAATGACAGGACATCTTAAATCCACAAATTTGCTGGCTTATTTATTAGTGATGAAATAGAATTTACGTATTATTGGTACTGAATTGAATAGAATGGGAACAGCAGCTCCTCATTCTTTACCTTAACTCTGTCTACTCAAAATAGTATAGTTTATGTATCGAGAACTATCTAGATAAACAAAAACACTACGCGATTTACAGCGTCCACAGCAGTAGAAGAGAGGTGCTTCTCTCAAATCTATGTTGATGTTCATTCAAACTATCCCTCAAGCAGCACTCATGTCTCTTAGATGGTTTTGTATTCGAATTGTATTAAGAGCGGATACATCCATACAAGACCCTTTCACATGAGACGCACTGTTAGCTTAACCTTATAGGGCGAACACATATGTTCGTGATTTTTTATGCAAAAAGCGTGA